ATCTACGTATATATTTTATATTTAAATTTATGATTGACTGATTTGTTTGTTGAACGGCATATCATCTTTATGGGTTAAATATCGAAATTTAATTTTTTTGAGGCTTTGAAGTAATAAAAATATGATATATGTTATTCTGACTTTAAAAATTGAATACATGGTAGATGATTCTCAGCTTTTGTGCATATACATGTTTCTGTAAACATGATTGAGAGGAAACTGATGTGTGTTTTTGCTGTAGTTTTGTTCAAGTTATATTTTGGAATAAAGTTTGGTTTTAAAATTGTAGGATATTATATGGACTTTGTTCTTTTATTTTTTCATATATGGTTGGGAAATATACAGATAAAATATATATAAATATTAAAAAATATCAACGTTTGTTGAAACAAACGGTATATCAATATTCTATAGGTTATTTAATGCCGAAATCTTAATATTTTGTACGTAATTTTATACTTTCAACGTTTGCAGATATTTTGCACATAATTTTATGATTTCAGGGTAAATGTAAGTATTTTAGATATACATTTGTAGAACATAAAAATGTGTTGATTGGTAATTTTACTAAATGTGTTTTTATGTTTTAGTGTTGCATTGATTGTCATTTTGCTATAAAATGTATTGTTGGTCATTTTATTATAAAAATGTACTATTGATTCTTGTTTGGGGGTATACTATTTGCCCATAACTGGGACCCTAATATGTACTATAAACTGGAAACAAGAGCAGTTCTACGCTCCTAAAACTTTCAATCAGGGGCCTTATTGTCAGATGTAGTATATCGTCATACCTTTGACGATTACATTCGTTGGCAATTTAATATATTTAAATTGTCTGTAATATAATGTCGGGTTCGAATCTCACGATGGTTGATTTAAAAATAATTTAATTTATTGAGAATATCAGACTTGGGAGATGATCCACGCATGCGTCAATAAATAGTGTCTGAAAAACCCTACCACGGAACGTAAAACTTTGTTCCTTCTGTGAAACAGACTGGGCTGAAATGTTCTGAAAATGTCTCATGGTTGAGCTATGATGAAGAACAAGTCATCATGGATTTGAGTGTAAAACCGTTGTTTAATTGTTGATCACTTCAGATTATGTATTATTCCCTGGGAATGTTGCCCAATTGTTGATGAGTGGACTGACTGAGTTGCAATTATATATATATATATATATATATATATATATATGAAGACACATCATTTTGACAAGGGCCTTATTCAGCTACTGATCGCGCCAGATTATTTCCTGTTTCCCAGAAACTGTAACTAATTAAGGTTTGCTCAGCATAGTTGTAGCACAGAATATGTGTTGGCTCTGTAGGTGTGGAAGAAACATAAATGTGCTTGAGCAGGCGTGTGCAACAGGGATTAGTGGAGCCATCTTTGCAGGCGTGCATATTTGGAAATTGCCAGGTATTAATTACTTAAATGAGCAAATAAGAAAATGAAAATTCACTGGATTTTAGTTTGACCTAAGACTTTAGAGGGCGTGGAAAGATGGCGGCGGATTTTGATGTCTCCTAACACCTATCGTAAAAAGATGTCATTTTCATTTGCACCTTAAACTTAGTAAACTAATAAAGCGAATGTTCTGATCGATAAAAATAAAAACAACGATCCAAGGACGCAAAAAATCGAACTGAGCGTTTGTTTTAATGGTAATAGGTTTGATTGACCTATTTCATAGACAATGGACTCAAGAGATAATTAGATATTATCAGTTGTCGTTTGAATGAAAAAAAATTTTTCCAAAAGAACAAAAATCGTCCGATCAGGTCTGGACGTGAATAAAAATCCCTTTTTACTTTAAAACTGCAAAAAAGAAAAAAAAAAAAAAAAGAGATAAATTAATTTTACGTCAAATTTACAATTTTCTTGTAAAAAAAATTAACGCGGCAGTTTTAAAGAAAAGATTCGCCTGCGTAGCATAGTTTTAAAATATTTAGACCATAAAAAAATTGTTAATTTCTATATGAATTTCTGGAATTAAAGAGTTATTGTTTTACATTAAATTGATTTTAGGGGAATAAAACAGAGTTCCCCCCTGATCCAGGTAGTATAGACTGGAAAAAAAGTGGAAACATCTACAAGCAATAACTTGAGCAGTACTAAATAAGAACTTTGATTTCCCTAGATTGGATATTTGGAACGAGAATAAATAACATTAAATGATTATCCGGGTCGGCAGAAACCTGAAGAGAGCCTGTATTTTGGACACCACAGCCGAAACTTTTTGATAATAACAACAAAAGATAAAACAATATTCTGAATGTAAAGAATCAGTTTTAAAATTGTTATTTTTTCTTCAAAATCTATATGTTAGATATATTAAAAAAAATAATATCATTTTTATTTTTTAAATTAAATTTTTTTATTTTTACTTTTATAATTAATATCAGATTTTTATTTTCATAATTAATGTCAGTTTTTTTTTTTTTTTTAAAATTAATGCTGAATTTTATGGGGGGGGCATTAACAGGTTAAGGAAAAAACATACATCAAAAATAAAAATGTTGCCTTTGACAAGATTTGAACCTATTAATAGATTTTAAACGACGCGGAAAAAATCTTAGCATGTTTGAAATTTCATCAAAGTTTTTGCTTGAAGGCTAATTTCGATCTTCATTGAATTGAAAAAATGTTCTTGGCACTGGGAGAAAAAACGGAAAAACTAGCCAAAAATTAATAATGGAATTACCTGTTGAAAAAAATAAATAAATAAATATGTGGACTGATTTCTGGTAAGAGCCAAAAACAAAAAGGTTTCTAGTATTTTAATGTAGCAATAAACATATTTATTTATTTTTATTACGCCCCTTTAAAATATTCATGGTTAACACCAATCTCCTATCTTTTTTGACGTATATATATAAACCTTTTCCGCCATCCATATACAGTGTTACAAAACTTTAAACAAGTCCTCTCAATTTTTTTAACATTTTTCCTTCAGTTGTTTTATATAATATAAAAATTCAAGCAAATTTTATTTTTTTGTTTATGGAAATTTCGAATGTCTTTTTCTATTTCTAGCGATTTTGTTTTTTTTGTTTTTCATTAATTTTTTTTTTTTATAATTATTTATTATAAATAAATATTTAAAATATAATAATATTTGGCTAAAAAAAATAATTAAAAAACATGTAAAAATTCAGTTTAACTGTTTTAAATGAGGCCAACTTCAGTGACGTGAAATTCATTCCAGCAAATAAGGACTCACTGGTACTAGCCAAAAAACATTTCCATAAATACACAAAAACGAAATCCTTGAAAAAAGTATAATTTTTCCCTTTATTTTTTAAAATTTTATTTTATTTGAATTAAATGTTTTAATAAATGATCTCAAAGAAAAATTACACTTGACAAATTATTTTTTTGCTAAATAGATAAAAATGTTCAGTTTAGAAGGAGTTTTGTTAATATTTTATATTATCAGTTTAACCTTTAAATTTTTTTGTTTTTATACAGAATCGGCATTAATTATATTTTAACAAAATGTGAAAACAAGTCTTTTCCATGTATATTTATGATAAAATAAAAATTAATACTTGTCTGGTATAAAAAACAAAACAATGTTCTGTTAGTTAAAAGGTTAAGAGAAAGAAAATAAAAATAACTTCAAAATAATAATCCTCCATACATTTTAATATTTTTATTCCAAAAATAATATAATCCGACTTTATGAAACTTATTTACTGAGCATTTAGATGCTGTCAGCCATTTTTTGATGGGTGCCAACATTTTGGTTTCAACCAGATGCTCTGAACTACACAATATAATAAAACTGGTGTGTGTGTGTGTGTGTGTGTATTAATAAATAGACATTCTTTTCCTTACTGGTAGCACAACTTGGAGTGTCATGTAAAATGCCATCTTCAGGTGCTGAGTAACTCTACTCAGCACCTGAATATTGCTTTGTGCATGAAATTCCGAGCTGTGCTGTCCGTGAGGAATAATATGTATATTTATTAATATATACTTAATTGCTGTGTTGTATTATATCAAGCAAGGTTTTATTAACACCAGCACTCTCTCTCTCTCTCTTTCTCTCTCTCTATATATGTGTGTGTGTATGTGTGTGTCTATGCATATAATGTGTTGCTGAAAAGTTCTTGACCCAGCCCTAAAGGAATTCCCCACAAAATTTCAGGATCACAATGAAAACTAATCGACATATGTCAAATTATTTAACCATATCTGTTTTGTTTGTTTGTGTGTATATATATATATATATATATATATATATATATATATATATATATATATATATATATTTCCAGCACCTGAAAGATTGCTTTGTGCATGAAATTAAGTTGTGATAGTGGTGAGGAATAATATATATTTATTAATATATACTTAATAGCTCTGTTGTATTTCATGGAGTACTTTTTTTTATTATCACTCAATGTGCCATATCATATATATATATATATCACACACATATTGTTAAATATAACAGACAATGAATGTCTATTATGTTTGAATGTGAGCCGTTCTAAAGTTTGGATGTTTGATTTAATTTTGGGTGAAAATAAAGACAAAAATTGTCCAACATTTGGATATATTTTTATTAAGTTGGTCCTTGATCTAAGCTTTTGGCTCACATGAACTAATCTTCAGAGAGGTTATATAGAATAGCAAATGCAGGTCATAAGTTCATGTTGCGGTTCTATGATGTCATACCATGCGAAAGGCCAAAATATTAACAACAGAATCACATGTCTAGACATCTGCTATTCCGCAACTTCTATGTAAACATAACGGAATATCATCTTTGATGGTGAATATCTTTGTCAAAAGGAATTCAGTTTTCATAAATTAAATAAAATTGTATGCTGAATTACTTTAAAATTATTATTGAGAGAAATGTTTGTAAGACGGGGGATTTAGCTTGAAAAAAAAAAAAAAAAAAAACTGTTTAACGTCTCCTGCCAATACCTCATAAATAATGGACTATTCCATTTTGAGCATGTGGAAAGAAAGGAAAATACACTACTTGGTGAAAGAGAAAAAAGAGAGAAAGAAAAGAAAGAAAAGAGAAGAAGAGAAAGAAAAGAAGAAGAAAGAAAGAAAGAGAGAGAGAAAAGAAAGAAAAGAAGAGAAGAAAGAAAGAAAAGAAGAGAGAAAGAAAGAAAGAAAGAAGAGAGAGAAAGAAAAGAAAGAGAAAAAGAGAAGGAAGAAAGAAAGAAAGAAAGAAAGAGCGGAGGAGAGAAAGAAAGAAAGGAGAGAGAGAGAAAGAAAGGAGGAAAAGAGAGAGAAAAGAAAGAAAAGAGAAGGAAGAAAGAAAGAAAGAGAGAGAGGAAGGAAGGGAAGAGAGAAAAGAAAGGAAGGAAGGGAAGAAAGGAAGGAGGAAGGGAAGAAAGAAAGGAGGAAGGGAAGAAAGAAAGGAAGAGAAGAAAGAAAGGAAGAGAAGAAAGAAAGGAAGAGAAGAAAGAAAGGAAGAGAAGAAAGAAAGGAAGAGAAGAAAGAAAGGAAGAGAAGAAAGAAAGGAAGAGAAGAAAGAAAGGAAGGAAGAAAGGAGGAAGGAAGAAAAGAAAGGAGAGGAAGAAAGAAAGAAGAAAGAAAAGAAGGAAGGGAAGAAGAAAGAAAGGATCCTATTAGAATTTTTTGAAGAAAGAAAGGAAGAGTTAAAGAAAAGATGGAAATTCTAAAAGAAAAAGAAAGGAAGAAGAGTCGTTAAATAAAGGCTTAAGAGAAAAGAAGAAAAGGAAGAGAAAAGAAAAGGAAGAAAAAGAAAGGAAAGAAAGGAAGAAAGGAGGAAGGGGAGATAAATATGTTTAACGTCTCCTGCCAATACCTCATAAATAATGGAAAGAGAAGAAAGTACACTAGTTAGTTTCAGAGAAAGAAGGGAAGAAAGAAAGAAAGAGACAAACAAACAAAGAAGAGGAAATAAAAATATTTAATGTCTCCTGCCCAATACCTCATAAATAATAAACTATTCTGTTTTGATTCCATGGAAAGAGGGAAAAAATTTCAAATCTTTTTATTTGTATCCCCTTACTTCTTAAAATAATGACCAGCATTCACATCTAGTATTGTTATTAAAACATTTTGTTAAAGTGGTTAAGCTCAAATATTTAATGTGACGGAAATTTATACAGCTATTTTATTGAGGCTTGTTCAATCATAAGAGTTAAGAATTAAAATTCATCAGAAAATTTCAATAAGAGAACTGTTAAATTTTCCTGGGCCTTACTAGTATGTATATAATTTTACTTAAAAATTTATTTTGACTCTTACTAGACAAGGAATGCAGAAATCTAGATCCACATTTTACTTATATATTTATCTATTTATGTTTATTTAACTGTAATTTTGGAACAAAGTCAAGACCCTGCAAGTTGAACAGTTTGAAAAAAATTGGTTGACAGAATCAATGGCATTTTGAAAAGTTCCAATGCCACTTTTAAGAAGTAAGTGTTCTTCAGAGATAATTCTTTGAGAATATAATAATAATTGGATTAGACATAAGACATGAATTGTTTTGTAGTTGTTTTATAGACAGCAAAGAGAAAGATTTTTTTTTTTTTTTGTTCCTATGGTCAAGAGTTTGACAGAATTTTTTTTTAAACTTTGAAATTTCAGACTAGAATAATTTATGCCTCTGCACTAAAGACTAAAGTAAATAACAAGGTTGGGGGCAGGATGAAATTAAAAAAAACAAAAAAAAACGGTGTGTGCACATGTGAGGGGGTGTGCAATGGAGTTTTAAGGGGAGAAAAAGAAAAAGAAAGAAAAAGAAAGAAAAATTTGAAATTACGAAATATTAAAATAACATAAAATTGAAAATAGTTCTTTTAAAAAGAAAGAAAAAAAATTGATTAAAAATGTAAACATAAAAAGTTACTGCCCATTCATCATACCCTGCAATTAAGAAACAGGGTAAGTATTTGGAATGGAGTTTTTACTAACAAAATAGGAAATGCAGTGTGTGTGTGCATATATATTAATAAATATACATACACCTACATTTTAGTGTGCGACTTAAGTTTCGCTGGTTTTCCAGGGTATCAGGCACAAAGTAAATCTTACGTTTTTATAAAAAAATTTTTTTTTTTTTTATAAAAACATAGCATATACTTTGTGCTTGATGACCTGGAAAACCAACGAAACTTAAGCCACACACCAAAACATAGGTATATGTATATTTATTAATATATATCTTTAACCACATCAAGCACTATGTTTACACTTCATGACTAAATTTGATGCTTATTTATTTGTTTGCCTGTGTCTGCATGCCAACACGGGCATATATGGCTGCTTATATCTGGTCATTTGATTATATATATATATATATATATATATATAAATAAATAAATACACAGTCTAATAAATAAAGTGTTTAACATTTTTGTTGTCCCTTCTCAAGGTAAAAAAAAGATAACTCCAGATGTTCTCATTCTCTTTTAGTGAATTTATATAGAAAATAAAAGAAATGCCCATAAAACGTATTTTTAAAAAATTTATAATTAGTTACTCGTTATGTGTTGAAGTTTTTCTTCTTCAGAGATTCATAAATTTATGACTAAAAAATTGTTTTCATAGTTGTTTTCTTATGATAAATAATAAACATTTGTCATTGCTGCAGATTTTTATAAGTTATTCTTGTAATTAAACAAATAAATTGTGTTTAATATTTTTGTGGTCAATTCTTGTGAAAAAAGAAAATGCATGAACCCAATTTCCTGTTTTTGGGTTTTATTAAAATTCATAAAAAAATTAAAACAATTACTGAGTAATGGCAAAGTCAGAAGAGAAACTGTCTTTTTCAAAGAGTAAAATATTTATTATGATAGAATTTCCAAATTTATTTACTTGGAGACAGAGTAAAGGACTGATAACTAAGAGGTAGGAGGTCCATCCCAAACATTGGGAAAATTATCTTTTTAAATTATTTTTTTTTTATTTGGGTCAGTAAAGAGAAAATTTAAATAACGTCTGAACTTTCTGAAAGTAAATGTTTTCAGGTAAACTTCGGATTGAAAAAAAATATTTTATGTAACAAAATTCCAAAGTGTGGGTAAAAAAAAAAAAAAAAAAAAAAAAAAAAGAAGGAAAGAAAAGAAAAAAGAAAGAAAAGAAAAAAAAAGAAAGAAAAAAAAGAAAAGAAAAGAAAGAAAAAGAAAAGAAAAAAAAAAAGAAAAAAAAAAGAAAAAAGAAAAAAGAAAAAAAAAAAAGAAAAAAAAAGAAAAGAAAAAAGAAAAAGGAAAAAGGAAAAAGAAAAAATAAAAGGAAAAAGAAAAAGGAAAAAGAAAAAATAAAAGGAAAAAGAAAAAAATCTTAAACAGCAGGGCATTTTTTATTTATTTATTTTGTAATTAAAATTTGTAAAATAAATATACTGACATATTTCAGATAACTCTGTAGGGAAAGGTGACAATTTTTGTGTCAATGTCAGGAGTTATTTGATGTCCGATTAATATTAAATAAAATGGAACAGAATTCTTCAAGTGACAATTTTGGGATCTAAGGAAGATTTTAGATTACCAGTTGAGAATTAATAATGCCAGGCCAGCCACTATGGACTGAGTCAATCATTAATGCATTAATTTTACATAAAAAAAAAGAAAAAAAATCTTAGAAGGAATGTAAGCTTAATTCATTCAGGGGGGTGGGTAAAGCAGTGGGGGACACAAAGAAAGAAAAAAAATATTCCCTACTTTCAACATTTTTGAAAACAAAATTTCCTGGAGTGCATAGTCAGCCAAATTCTGTGAAATGGCAGCAAAAACAGACATCCCACATTTCATCAGTTGTCCCTCTTGATTCAAAATAATTTGAAGACTGATAGACAAACAAAATCTCAAGGTGACAAACAGGTTTAAAAAATAAAAATTAAAATTAAAAACAAATAAAAAATTTTTTTTAAATTACACAAAAAAAAAAAAAAAAAGGAAAAAAAAGAAATTGTTTTTGTTAAAATTTATTTATACCACATTTGTTATTTCAATTTTCCAGTTTTAATTCCAGATAAATAATTCCTTATATATAAATATCTACTAAGCTTGGCTTAGTAAGGCACAAGGCCTGACAGGAAGATTGTCAATCCTCCAAGTAGAGAGCCTGCTTGCCTAGAAAATCAGCATTCAAATCCTGGCTTTTAACTAGGCTTGAAACCCGACCACTGGCACTGGTGGGAAATAGCTAACTATTTCAGCCACAGGGCAGACATTATATCCTTGCAAATAACGCATTTATTTCAGGAAGCAAATTTCATGTCTGGCAAATTTGTTCCTCTTTGAAGTAGATTTGCAAAAGATAGCAATTAGTAATGGTTGTCCATTAAATTTGGTGCTTCCAAAATTGTTTAGATGAAAGTTCCAAGTTTCCAGGAACATTCTAGAAGATTGTTTCAAATTTTGAAGTTTTAGTTTATATAATCCGTTTAGATATTCAAGTCAGCAAGGGTGCATCATTACTTTAAACTTGTATAAAAGACCCTCCATCTTACCAATTTACCGTTAATATTACAAAATTATTAGGTTAGGCTTGGCACAACCACTAATAGTCTACCAAATGTCTGAACTTTATATATTTAGTATTTTTCTAAAAATTACATATATAGTCAGCACATGGATTTGAGTAGACATCTTGTGTGTGCATTTGTACACACACACATTATATATATATATATATATATATATATATATATATATATATAGGCCTAGCAATCAAAACCTTATATAAAAAAAATGTGTCCATTCTCTCAATAGGAATTGAACCTTTTTTTTTTTTTAATTAAAAAAAAAAAAGGTTTGAGGAGGTCACTTTCAAGCCAATCATGCTTTACCATAGAGACAGCTAAGAGAGCAGTTCCTCAAATTAAAAAAGGAAATACATGTTTGATTGATGGTAGGAGACATTTTTTCTTCAAGAGGGCTTTCAATCTCTAGGCCAGCAGACATTAATTCACTGTATAAAAACAAAAGAAAAATGATGTCTAAAATATGTCTAACCATAAAATTTATAGTAATAAGAATTAAAAAAAAAAAATCCACTAATTGATTATATATATATATATATATATATATATATATATATATATATATATATATATATATATAGTTTCAACTATGTTATATTTATTCAATATCAGGTTAGAGCATATGTAAAAAGTATATAAAAGTGGACACTGAGGTCAACGCCGACTAGCGACAGTCTGTTTTATGTTTGAATGCAATTTTCAGTCCTGAAGATTCCACTGAAGCATGAAACAGATTTTTTTTTTTTTTGTGGGAAGTGGCGGCGGCAGGGGGTGGGGATGCTTATATGCTGTCCAAATATGGTAATTTGGAACATTTTCGCCCCTGTATCTACTAGATACGATCAACTCCTTGCAAAGTAGGGCTTGGCTCAAGCAAGGAGGGCAAAATATGAAGCTTAATTTCGTTCATTTTGCTTCAAGTTTGTCACAACATTCATTGGGTTTGGCAAAAGAAAGAACTTTAGTTGAGGGAGAAGTCAACAGAAAAAAAAAAATTATCAAACCATAACTATATATATATATATATATATATATATATATATATATATATATATATAGAAAACTTATTTATTCAAAATTATAACATGTTATAACATGTTTATAATTTTTGAATAAATAATATTTGCTCTACTGTATTGAGCACTCTTAAGAATAGCATTTTTGGTTATTGGAATTTTATTCCGTCTACACTAATTCTATATTTGTATGTGTATATATAAATAACTATATAAATGCAATTTACTTCTAATTAGTTAACTTCTATTCATTCAGTACAGGATACCTACAGGTGATATATATATATATATATATATATATATATATATATATATATATATATATATATACTCTCTTATACAAGTTTCATTAAAAACAACTGACAGGGCTGTTTAAGTCTTTTTTTTTTTTTTTTTTTAATTTTGTGTTTTTATAATTTTTCTTCATTTCTGGATGTAGATTACGTAGAAATTGTCTGAATGTCCTGTATAAAGTGCTTTCAGCTATACTTTTAGCCATCATCAAGGATGATTTTATTTTTACTTTTAATGTGTGGATTGATCGTTTTATAACTCTAGATACATACATAAAACAATCCACACATTAAAAGTAAAATTAAAATCATCCTTGATAATGGCTAAATGTATAGGCAACAGCGCTCAGGCATACTGAACATTCGGACAATTTCTACGTAATCTACATCCAGAAATGAAGAAAATTATAAGAATACAAGAAAAATTAAATGAAAAACCTTAACTGCAGTATCTTGCCTGTCATTTTTAATGAGACATATTAAAAAAGGGATTGCTGTCCAAATACACAATTTAATATATATATATATATATATATATATATATATATATATATATCTTAATTAGATATAAATTGTATTGCAATTAACTAGAACAAGTGTTTAAACTTGATTTGCAAATGAAATTTAAAATAAAATATCTGAAGAAAATATTAAGTCTATTTTAAAATTCAACATTTCAGAGAAGGTAATTGATAATTTTTAGATTAAATAATTAACAGTCCAAAACTAAGTTAAAATGCAAAAAAAAAAAAAAAAAAAAAAAAAAAAAAAAAAATAAAAAAAAAAATAAAAGAAAAAAAGTTGTTTTTTTTTTTTTCCAAAAAACTAGTTTAGCACACAAGACATAATAAAGATCATGTGGAAAAAAGAAAGAAAAGAAAAAATTCACACAAGACATCAGGAATAAAACAAAAGCATTAGGATTTCTATTCAGTGCTTTAAAAAAAAAAAAAAAAATACGACTCAAAAGAACCTCCATGTTCATGACAAAAACTGAGTTGTGATGAAATTACGGATTAAATAAAAAAAAATAAAAAAAGATTTTGTTTTTTAAATAATGATGCAAGTTTCTTGACTAACTACAGAGAAATAAATTTAATGTCTAGATTCCGGACAATGTTACGACACATTTATATATGTTGTGTTGTTAAGGTTAGAGGAAATGAGAAATATTTCGGGAGGGTCCAATTTAATGGGGTGTGAGATATAGAGGTGGGGGTGGAGGGTCCAATTTAATGGGGTGTGAGATGTAGAGGTGGGGGTGGAGGGTCCAATTTAATGGGGTGTGAGATATAGAGATGGGGGTGGAGGGTCCAATTTAAATGAAACAGCATTTCAACCAGTTAAGCCCAATAGAAGATTTGGGTATTAATCTTTTTCATTCATTTATTAATTTTTGGTGTAATTACTTCAGTATTCATCCATTTTGAACACATTTCAGCTGGTATATTTTCTATTCCTCCTCAGATGACACATGTTAAGTAGAAATATTTTTAACAAAAGCAAATGAGTAAAATAAATTCCTAAAGTGTTAAAAGATCATTTATAAACTTATGTTTCACAAAGTTGAGGTAGGCTGGAGAATAAACTGCTTCAATAAATTAAATATAAATATGAATCAGGAATATATATATATATATATATATATATATATATATATATATATATATATATACACATGATCGTGATTACGATTCCAATGTAATAAATTATAAACATGAAATATTACTATTTGAGCCATTTATATTATATTCTTGCTTTGTCCTGGACATTGAGCTCTGCCTGGATTCTATCCTCTTGGATTATATATGTAAAAAATCTCATTTCGTTTAAAATAATGAAACACAAAAAGTAGAGTTGTCTCCCCTACCACACGGTTTCAAACACTCAAACCAGAAATAATTCAAGTTTTACTTAATCGTGGCCTGAGAATTTGAAGCCAATAATTAAGTAGTCAGTTTATTTTTTTGTTTTGTTCTAACACTAAAGTAACTTCTGGTAATATATATATATATATATATATATATATATATATATATATATATATATATATATATATAAACTTTTGAAAAGCTAAGCAAAACTGGTTAAAAAAAAGTTTAAAAGAAAAAAGAGGAAAACAACAAATTATTTTCCTAAGAAAAAAAAAAAACCCAAAAAACCCCACTGAAAATCCAATTGTAAGTAACCAAGTTTTAATTCTTCTCTCTAAAAACTCATATTATAAATAAATATCACTATATTAAATATTAGGTGACTTTTTTTCCAATTCTCATTTTAGTCTATACAATAAGTTTTTCTACAGAATCTTTCTAACAAAAACTTTTTATATATATATATATATATATATATATATATATATATATACAAGTAATAAATCCATTGGTATATAATCCAAGTGGATCTTAATAATATAAAATATTAAAACTGATCCACAAAAAGAGCTATGTTAGTTCAAATAGACAATACTCATGTGGTAATTTTGGATTACTCTGTTGTGTAATATCTATCTATCTATAATTACATATTTAGATATGATAACAAATATAATTGTTACATCCTCATGTAAATATTCAGATTAAATATCAGTCTCCAAAAAAATATCTTCAGAAGATTTCAATCCAAGCTAACATTTTACTAAAAATTCCATGAATCATCATCATTATATTTGGTTTAGTATCTCAGTAAGTCTCTCTTATTGACTAATTGTTGACTAATATGTCAAAGTTTTAATACATAATTGACAGAAATTAAGTCATTTAAAAGCCAGATTTTCGCTGAATTTCTGGTGTGGGAATGTTGGCAACTTAATGCAAGACTGCCATATGCAAGATTAACAACGTCAGCATGTTGAATATGCCAAAGAAAAACCATAAAAGTGCTTCCATTAAGTGGCAAAGTGAAAAGTTCTCTAGAAGTGTAGAAAAAAAATATCTTGAAGTTGTTCTAAGATGGTAAGAATAAATCTATCAACATTTGAAATGCCTGCCTTGGACTGGAATTCAAATACAAGCGTCCGCACCCTGGATGCATAAATAAGTAATTGGCCTTCATTTGCACAAAACTTTTTAAGGCCATAAAAACAAAGATTCTTAACTTCCCTAAAACTGAGCTTAGAAATTTAGATTTCATATCAAATGGCAGAAAATAAAATATGGATCAAGTAGAGGTTTTTCTACATCTAGATTGGAATTATTCATCGACTTCTTAAATTTATGTGACAAAAAAAAAAAAAAAAATTAAATTAAATTTCAAAGTTTAACATTTCAGCGTTGCCTCCCATTTGTGTGCATGCGCAGTTGCATTGACTTTAGTTATAAAGGATAAAATAAGAAAATTAAATTTTTATGTGTAAAGTGGAAAATGCTAAGGCTATGTACTGTACAATTTTAAATTGTATCATGCAGGCACATTGGAAATGTCAAGGGAGGTAACTAAATTATTGTAAAGTCTAAATAATTTTCTTTCTTCCTTAAATAAGGATACTAAAAAAACTTATCTGTATTTACAAGAGGATCCTATTAAAAATAAGTAGACAAAATTTGTCTAAATTATTTAATGAGACATGTCTTAATGAAAACATGCTGCCAAAATATATGCTATACATATATATACATATATATATATATTTTCTTATATAATTTAGACAAATTTTGTCTACTTATTTTTAATAGGATCCTCTTATAATTACAAACAAGTTTCTTAGTATCCTAATTAAAGAAAGAAAATTACCATAGTGATACATATTCATTTTATTCCAAGTACTTTCGACATTAGCACAATGCCATCATCAGGGTCTTGTTTCTTCTAAAACAAAAATTGTTGTGTTCATCACTTTTCTAAGACAAAATTGTTGCATTCATCTGAAAATTAAATTTTTATGTGTGAAGTGGAAAACGCTAAGGTTATGTACTGTGCAATTTTAAATTGTATCATGTCGGTACATTGCAAATGTCAAGGGAGATAACTAAGTTATTGCAAAGTAAATATTTTTACAAAAGAAAAAACTGTTTAAAACTATTAAATATTTTAAACTATCAACTGTAAACATTTCAAAACATTTGTACAGTATTCACAATGAATTTTATTAAGAGTTGGTTTCAACTTTTTAATATAGATAGCTTTGAGAATCTTTAGTTTATTATTTTTATATAATATAATATTATATATAAATGTGTAGATGTATTTTCAACAAGAATTTTCTGAAATTGTAAATGTGGACAGACATGCTGTTGTAAGTGTTGAGAGATGTTAGATGCATCATTCAAATGAAAACTCAACCTTTGAGAAAACATAGTAGTGGCATGGCCAACATATATACTAATTTTTTCTGCTGGAGATACAATCTTTCAAGGGACATTTAAATTTATATATAATTTATGAGAGGATCCTATTAAAAATAAGTAGACAAAACTTGTCTAAATTATTCAATGAGACATGTCTTAATGAAAACATGCTGAAAACATGCTGTCAAAATATGCACTATATATATATATATATATATATATATATATGAAAATTAATGGGAAAGTGGAAAACATTTTTGTGTGGCATATTTCATTCTTTAGGCTTTCATGAGATTAAAGTCAGATTTATGCTGATGTAACTACACAAGTACACAAGGGGGGGTGACGCTGATATTTAAAACTTTAAAAATTTAAATTATGTGTGAGTCATCAATTTTTGTAGTATTGTTCTGGTATGTAAAAATTTATTTGCACTGAAAATATTAAATGGAGGACAACATTTCGAAATTCTTCATCTCAGAAATTCAGTCAAATTTGGATTTCAAGCTACTGGGCTTAAATCCTAGTGTTAAGAGAGTAAGATCAATTGAACCAGATCTTGTAGAAAAGAAAAAAAAAAAAAAACAAAAAACAATTTGCTTTTATCTAGATTTCAGCTGGTGGGTTCTCTAAGCTTCCTCAGGTTTATACCGCATTCAGTTATATACAGAGCGAGGGTGAAGAAAAATAAAACAGTCAAGATTTACAGACCAAAGTGACTTGGATTTCAAACTACTAGTCTTTACGCATTTTTTTTTTTTTTAATGTATAATATGACCCGCATATTTCTGAAGTTAAAATCAACGAATAAATTACATCATATAATATGATCCCATGTTTTTGAAGCTAAAACCAGAGAATAAATTACATTCATTTTCTAAGCGTAGCTTAGATGTGGCAAAAGGCCAAAAGTATAGGACACCCAGTGAGGATCAAACTCACTATTCAGTCATAAAAGTTTTAGCGAGACAAGCTTGCTAATCATTACATTACGCCGAGGTGCCCCCAGAGAATAAATTACATCTTTGAGTAGAATACGACCAAGTAGTACAGGCACCCGTATGTAGAATCTGTTTGAAAAATTGTACCATTCTATCTATTAAAAAAAATCAATCTCATACATATATTTCACTAGAATATTTAATTTCTTAAGATATTAAAGAATAGAAATGAACTGGATGTTTAACCATTGGGTGTTTCATCTCCTAATTTCTGTTCCAAAACTTATTCTTGAATTTTAAGGGAATGGTGTTTTGTTGAAACATTTAATATAATCAAAACATGCCAGACATTGTGTATTCCTTTTTTTTTTTTTTATTCCATTTCCTGTCTTTGAGACAAATGATGTTCAATTATGTTTGATTTGCAAAGAACAAATATTGCTGACATATCAAACATCTTTTGTAAATAATTGGTACAAACACCTGCCTACCTTATGTTTTATTATCTATTGGGCGAACTGAATGGATTTAAAATCTTGCTGTTTCAAAGAAGAGCTTTTTTAAGGGGGGGTAAAAACTTCTGAAAATGTGTATAAAAGTCACACATTTTTGCCTTTAAATTTTTGTTCAAAATTTCTCGTGTTATACACAAGCAAACGTGATAATTCTTCAGGTCAAGAGAGAAAGGGAAATGAATGTAGTAATAAAATGAATATTTGTTGTTGGGGTGGGTATTAGTTTCATGGATTTTGCTTAGCGGCATATCAACATCTCTATGGGTTATTTAATACCAAAATCTAAATATTTTGACCACAATTTCATGGCTTCAACTAAATATATTTTGAAAGCAATTGTATTCCTTCAACTACAGAAAAAATGTATATTTGGTCATTTTGATTTAAGTATGTATTGTTGGTTGGTTGATTTTGTTTAGTGGCATATCAACATCTCTATGGGTTATTTAATGCTGAAATCTAAATATTTTGAACAGAATTTTATGGCTTCAACTAAATATATTTTGAAAGCAATTGTATGCCTTCAACTATAGATAAAATGTATTGTTGGTCATTTTGTTTTAAATATGTATTTTTGGTTGGTTGATTTTGTTTAGCAACATATCAACATCTCTATGGGTTATTTAATGCCAAAATCTAAATATTTTGGCCACAATTCTATAGCTTCAACTAAATATATGTAGTTGTATGTCTTCAACTACAGACAAAATGTATTGTTGGGTATTTTCTTTCAAAATGTATTGTTGGTTATTGTACTATAAATATGTATTGTTTGAACTTTTTTTTTTTTAACATAAAACGTGTGAAAACACGTGTGATACCCTACCCTCATCAGCTGCCAACCAGGGGAGGTAACATGGTTTTAGTGGCTAAGGCAGTACTGCCACCTCTGGTGCCACTAGCAGCTTTTGCCATCATCTTTTTGCTTTTTGTGTATATGTTACATAAAAATACATTGCTGGTAATTTTACGATAAAAAAAATGTAGTTTTATACTTTCATAGTGCTTTTTTTTTTTTTTGGTGTGAGCTCACTATTTAGCCAGTTGGGGCCCTAACAGGTGCTCCCACCCCATATCAGGGTGGACCTGGGAACAACAACAATTAAGAGGTAGTTCCAGCTCTTCAAAGCCTCCAATCTCCCAATCAGAGGCCTTGGTGCCGGATAGTGGGTATTAGAGAAATAGCAAGTAAAATATAAACATGGTATTTACCATGACAGCAGGAGCTGAGTATAGCCAAGAGTGAAATATTTTTATGCCGACTGGTGTCATTAATTGTGATAATTTAATTTAAATTTTGGCTGTTGGGTTCTCTATATTTTCTAAGGTGTTGAGTAAAACTATTTTATTTTCTCTCTTTTAATCCAAGGTCAATGAAAAGAAAGAGAGGAAAAATTGAATGTTAGTGATTGAAACGCTTGAGAATAGTGGGTAGAAGAATTCAAAGAAGACCATCTTCTGAATTTTCCATTATTGGGAATATAAACACTTACACTGTAAGGATATCAAAATAGCTAAAGAAATACAATTCTGGACTGGTCTGAAAAAGAATTAACAGGCAGAAAAGAATTAACATGTGTGGGTGGTCAAAATGTTGTCCTTGTAACAATTGCCGTTTCTATTTCTTTTTGGTAAATAACTGAAAAGATTCTTGTCAGAAGAACATGGAGATTTTGTTATATTTTACAAATGATACCATTAGGGGCGGAAAAAAAGAAAAGATGTCAGTAAACATGGAGAAACGTGCCCATGCAAAACATAGACTAAATGCCAATTGATTCAAACTTTATAAAATGGTAAATAAGGATTTCCTTAGAGTTGGTTCATATATTTTAATAATTTAGCAAATGTTTATAAATTTATGAATAAAAAATGTTTTCATGTTTATTTCTTTATAAATTTGTAAATGATAAATATTGCATTGCATTAGTTTTAATTTTAGTTTTAGAATGTAAATATAAAATTATTCTTGTAAATAAACAATCTAATAAATAAATAGTTTTTAATATTTTTGTTGCAAATTCAAGAACAAAAAATGTATGAATTCACTTTTATCAAATGTTTAGATTTTATTCCCATTCTAATCATCCCTTTTTAAAACAAACATTGCTGAAGAGTGAAGGTTGTTAAAATAATAATGGGTGTCATGGGAAAAACCGTCCTTTTGATAATATGTTTTATTGCTGGCACATTTATCCATGTTTGCCAAGATGTTGTTCTGGGAGATTTTGAGTTTTTTATAAATTCTAAGAAATTTAAAAAAAAAAAAGAAGAATTTTGGCACATTGGTATCTATATGGACCAGTGCTGAAATTACAACCAGGTAAAAGCTAGTCGTAAAAAAAAATTCTTTGATGGATTTCCTAATGAAGAGCGGGTAAAAACTGATAAGTAATTAAATAATTAGATGTTCAGATGAAGTTTTGTTTCAGGAAAGATGAAGCAAATTTAGAAAATACAGAATCTTTGGAAGTCTCAGGTCATGGCAAAATCTTTGGTTTTTTTTTTTTTTGAATTGGGTACAAAGAACTGCAAAAACCAAAATGAGAATGGGTTTCAAATTGGTATGAATACCAGGCTCTCTTTTTGTTAGCAGTTTTGATTTGATGCCAAATATGACAATTCAATGTAGACAGCAGCTAGAGGTATGGTATGGATAGAGAGAAAAATGGTGAGGGAGATTAGAGAAAGAGAGTGGAAATTAAAGAGAGTGAGGAGGTAAAGAGAGTGAGGAGGTAAAGAAAGGGAGAAGAGATAAGTGAGAAAGGGAGAAGAGATAAGTGAGAAAGGGAGAAGAGATAAGTGAGAAGAGATAAGTGAGAAAGGGAGAAGAGATAAGTGAGAAAGGGAGAAGAGATAAGTGAGAAGAGATAAGTGAGAAAGGGAGAAGAGATAAGTGAGAAAGGGAGAAGAGATAAGTGAGAAGAGATAAGTGAGAAGAGATAAGTGAGAAGAGATAAGTGAGAAGAGATAAGTGAGAAGAGATAAGTGAGAAGAGATAAGTGAGAAGAGATAAGTGAGAAGAGATAAGTGAGAAGAGATAAGTGAGAAAGGGAGAAGAGATAAGTGAGAAGAGATAAGTGAGAAAGGGAGAAGAGATAAGTGAGAAAGGGAGAAGAGATAAGTGAGAAGAGATAAGAGAAAGGAGAAGAGATAAGTGAGAAAGGGAGAAAAGGAGAAGAGATAAGGAGAAGAGATAAAGTGAAAGGGAGAAGAGAGTGAGAAAGGAGAAGAGATAAGGAGAAAGGAGAAGAGATAAGAGAAAGGGAGAAGAGATAAGTGAGAAAGGGAGAAGAGATAAGTGAGAAGGGAGAAGAGATAAGTGAGAAGAGAAAGGGAGAAGGGATAAGTGAGAAAGGGAGAAGAGATAAGTGAAAGAAGAGATAAGTGAGAAAGGAGAAGAGATAAGTGAGAAAGGAGAAGAGATAAGTGAGAAGAGATAAGTGAGAAAGGAGAAAGATAAGTGAGAAGAGATAAGTGAGAAAGGGAGAAGAGATAAGTGAGAAAGGGAGAAGAGATAAGTGAGAAAGGGAGAAGAGATAAGTGAGAAAGGGAGAAGAGAAAGGGAGAAGAGATAAGTGAGAAAGGGGAGAAGAGATAAGTGAGAAAGGGGGAGAAGAGATAAGTGAGAAAGGGAGAAGAGATAAGTGAGAAAGGGAGAAGAGATAAGTGAGAAGAGATAAGTGAGAAAGGGAGAAGAGATAAGTGAGAAAGGGAGAAGAGATAAGTGAGAAAGGGAGAAGAGATAAGTGAGATAAGTGAGAAGAGATAAGTGAGAAAGGGAGAAGAGATAAGTGAGAAAGGGAGAAGAGATAAGTGAGAAAGGGAGAAGAGATAAGAAAGAGCGAGTAGGGAGAGATAAGAAAGAGAGGATAAGGGGGAAAGAAAGAGAGGATAAGGGGGAAAGAAAGAGAGGATAAGGAGAAAGAAAGAGAGGAAGAGATGGTGAGAAAGGAAAGAAGAGATGAGAAGAAGAGAAAAAAAAAGAGAGCAGTTTGCCTAGGATATTTATAAAAGACCCAGAGAAACCCAAGGGGATCATCAAGGCCTAATCGCCGAAGAGGTCAACACGTGCTCAATACTTGCAAAGCCATTCAAGTTCTCAGGCAAGATGCTGAGTGGCTCAAGTCTCCTACGGTCATTTCAATTTGCGCACACTGATTGGAACAAGGACTGCAATCTTGTCAGGCAGACTGGCATCGGTAAACAGCCAGCTTATCTCTATCATTGTTCCCAAATTCATGAGACCTTAAAGAGAGCTTGTTCAGTGTCAAGCTGAACAAGACTTTTGTTTCTGACCAGAACACATTCATGTTGGACCGTTAAACAAAACTTATCTAGGTTTTCGAGTGATGATGAAATACTGAATATAGATTTTGCGTCTACATTTTTTCGACTTCCATAGAAATATTTTTTTCCAGACAAAAGGGATAAAGCTATAAGGTGGCATCACTCGTAATGTATAACACGGGAGATGAGCACTGTCTAAAAATCCTATGCACGCAAATTCCTAGATGATAGGGCGGCTACTGAAATACGTGTATGTCAAGTTGTAGTTCTTAAATTTGCAGAACTGGTGGTCCAGGCGGGTATAACCTGGGATATGATTGTCTTCAAGGTCCTTGTGTGCATTGCGTGCACTGGAGGCCTGAAAAAATAAAAATAATTATAAAATTAAAAAGAATTTTGTTTAAATTTGTTGAAATTAAAAGCCAACGACTGTAAATAATTTCTGAATTGATTGATTGGTTGGTTGTTTCTTTTTGTTTGTTTTTTTTTAGGTTATTTATGTGGTGTACTATTTAAACATACTGAAACTAATAAAGACCGCAAAAGACAGGATTTATGTAAGAGAGCATAAACGTGTGCCTGTCCAACATAGCGGTCATTCGTCACTGCCCGTTTATTCTTAGGTATCACGAAAAGATGCCCCCTGAGGGATAAAGGGTAGATAACCCAACACGTTGGGTCATTTCAGACAAAGGGACGTAACTCCTCTTCTCGGTTCAATATATAACAATTTAAGCCTATAGCATTCAACCGATCTTATAAATATCGGCTGTCAAAAGACTCACTATGTGCCTTCTTGCATTATTTGGGATGATCTTGTCATATAATAAGGCAGGGTATACATGAGGTAGGTTGAACACTGAGAGCTGATATTCACAGGGTCGGTTGAATACTAAAGAGTTAATGCCAGAAAATATTTTTGGATTGTTAGAATTTTTAATGATTTACTGATACACATTCTACTATTTAACCCATAGCTGGGAGAAGAGGTAGATTCATACCTTTTTCAATGGTATTTGTGCATAAATGAATATAACAAACTCATTAATATTCATTTTCTCATATTCTCTAACATTCAGTAACACCTAACTTCTTTTGTGGCTTTATTGCCTTGTTTGGGGTGGAATTATTATATATATATATATATATATATATATATATATATATATATATATGACAAACTATTATTCTTACCTTGTTGGCAAAAACAGTCATTAAAAATTTCCCAGGCTGGAAGAGTTTCAATACTTTACTTAACATTTCATTGTATGATTCCTGAAAGAAATCAATAAAAAAGGTAATTTAAAAATTGATAACATTTCCTGTAGGTTTAATTAAGGAAGAAAAAAAAACAACTTAATCCATAAAATTAAAATTTAAATCATAAAGAGGTAATCCATAAAATTAAAATCATAAAGAGGTAATCCATAAAGTTAAAACTTAAATTGTAAAGACATAATCCATAGCATTAAAAGCGTAAAGAGGTAATCCATAGCATTAAAAGCATAACGAGGTAATCCATAAAGTTAAAGTTTAAATCGTAAATATGTAGTCAGGTAGAGATCTATGCCTTAAAATATAATACAATTTTATTTTAAAGACATTTTCCAATCGAATATTTTTAGACTAGGTAAATACAGTTAAGAAATGTTAATGATAGTATTCATTGTTTCCCTATAAGGAAACATTGGGCATTCAGTAACTGAGCAGCCAGTACCACTTTCCATTGAAATTTATAAAATCTTTTCTTGAACCAATTTTTCAGGAAAATAGGTTTCTCTAGTCCAGTAGCTGTTACTGCTCTTTCTAGTATTGACACTTTTTAACCCTTTTATTTGAAGTGATGTGTAAATAATTTTTGGTGTGTCATCACCTAGATTATGTGACTATTTTCTGTTCAAGTTACATGTGCTATCCATTTTAGTTGTTGCTACTGTTGGTGGTCCCTGAGTTATGTGGTTTCTGTTAATTGGTACAGTTCTTTGATTCTGTAGTGCTAGTCCACAAGGCTCAAAGAAGGATGGTCTTTGCCAAAACCCTCAGGTTTCATTCACTCAAAGCCATTATTAACCAGTGATATTCAAAAATGGTTGTATACAGCCGAGAGTTTAGATATTTCTGAACAGTTTTAGTGCCATGAATAACTTCCATATGAAAGACAAGAGATAAAAAAAGTTGCAAAAGTCCTTTTTAACTATCTAAAATTTCTGTATGAACAACATTTTCAACATTTATTTTCTAAAGTTCATTTGTTTTCCACAAGAATTTCCCACACTGGTTATAGCGACATAGAGCTGAGCATGAGGGAAAATATTTGAATAAATTTCTAAATGATCATATTGATGAGAGTTTAATTCTGCAAACTTAATATTTTTTCCTCACTTGTTTAAATAATTTCTGAGATGAGGTATGACTATTGCCCTCATCTCTGTTGCCATATTTATCACCCTTCAGTATCTGCCTATATTTCTGAGATGAGGTATTATGTACACTATTTACATTATTTGGACTATTGTCCTCATCTCTGTTGCCATATTTATTACGTTTCAAGTGGTTGGAATGTCGAACTGAACTCTGCCATCAGTTATCTCCTGTTAATTCCCCTCTCCAAGTTCTTCATCGTCTTAACCAGGTATTGAACTCACACTCTTTGGGTCCTGTTACTGGATCTAACTAACACCTTTATCCACTGTGCCATGTGTCCTTGAGGACATCTGTGTATGAATTTCTGGGTATTATAAACCTAATGTCTTCAGTAACCATATTTTACCAGTGCTCATATTGCAATTTTTTGCTGTTATCATTACATGTTTTTACCAGAGCTCATATTGCAATTTTTGTTGTTATTATCGCTTTTCTTTTATTACTGGTTCCCATATTGTATTCATTTCTATGCTTGGTCGGCTCAGGAGATTTTTGTGGCATAGCATATGTGCTGATTCCTTAAGTTCACAAATTTTCCAATGGTGTTCTTTGTTTATGATCTCAACTTGATTCCACAGAGGGTGTTGATCTCCCTTTACTCTCCATATGCGGTCAGCCACGCCTGATTTTTCCACTTCCCCTTGTGTTACAGCTTTTTGATGTTCTTGAAGCCTTACCTTAAGGGGGAGGCCTGTCTCTCCTTTATATTCCTTTCCGTAGCTGCACGGGATAGTGTACACACAGTCTTTAGTCATGTTCTCATCTATGGGGGGAGTCTTACTTAGGAGAGATATCTGCGAAGTGTCGTCAAGCTTTTGAAGGTTGTCCTGATGTTATATGGACCGCAGATCCTTTGTATTTTCTCTGATAACCCCTTCACATAAGGCAGAAAATACAAAGGATCTAGAACAGTCTACCCCAGTGAGCAAAATAAAGGGTTCAGTTCGACATTCCAACCACCTGAAGAAATGTTGTAATAAATATGGCAACAAAGAGAAGGACAATAGTCCAAATAATGTAAATACGTATTGTTTTAAGAAAAATCTAATTAAACAGATTATTTTAACTTATTTAGATAATTCTGTAAATTTTTTTGGCTCTGACTAATTTGTCGCCGTGTGAAATGTCAGATGACAACAATGGTTATTGCGAATACTGCAGGAAATAACCTATTCACTGCTTTTTTGGATATTTGACCTTTACATACAAGTGTTTTTGTTAGAATAACCATTAGAATTTATTATATAAAACTAGATATGCTTTATTTTGGTGAATAAAATTCAATTTATTAAACTAAAAAGTGTCACACAAATGTCTTTGGCATTATTTTAAATTCTGTAGTTGAATGTCAAGCATTTGTACATTACAACAATTTTTTCTTTTAAATTTAAGAACTGCTCAACATATAATAAATGACACTGAAAATGTTGGTTGAGTTATTTGCATTGCATTAAATAAAATTACATGTGCATGAGAGACAATATGCAACATGTCGCATATGCATAACATGTAGTAGTAACTGTCCGAAGGATGACACAATTATTTCAGGTTAGGAATGTAATAGTAAACAGGTTCTTGCTAAATAAACTGAGTGACAGCACCTTATCAGACAATTAGAAAAATGTCCCCTGAGGAGCAATTTAACAATGCCTAAAGGTTGAATCCACTTTGGTAGAAAGGGAGACAAGCCTGCTACTGCATAGAACACATCCATTAAGCTGAGGAACGGGAATTAGCCAATGATGGTGAGTTCAAACCTAGGTAGGATCACAAGAGTCAGCACAGTTAACACCTTTTTTTTGTTTATTTTGAAGATTAGAAGTTGGTTCAAAGATGGTTAAAAAGTAATTTACAAACCTGAGAAACATTAGTTTCAAAACTGACATAAGAACATTGGGGTTCTGGAGTAACATGGATAGTTATGTATAATCCCTGGAAACAAAAATAAAATATAAATTTTATATATATGTGTATTTAGGCAGCAATCCCTCATTTATACATGTTTCATTAAAGATGACAGACAAGGTACTGCAATTAAGCTTTTTATTTCATTTTTCTTATGTTTGAATAAGTGTTTTCTTTTCTGGACATAGTGTGTGTAGAAACTGTCTAAATGTTCTGTAATTCCAAATGCTTTTGGCTATACTTTTAGCAATTATCAAAGATGATTTTATTTTTACTTTTTAACTGGATGTATGGGTTGTGCGTATGTATCAAGAGTTAAAGGGATTTTCCGAACACATTGGTGCTATGTTAATATTATTGAATGTTGGCTTTTTCTTTTT